AAGATCTGCAAAAAAATGGGGGGGTCTCAAAAAAATCTGGGGTATCCAATAAATTCATTTGGGGTCTCATCTGGGGGTCGGCAACGAAAATATGGAGTCTTAATTTAAAGCTGGGGGTCTCCAATGACAAGTTTGGGCTCTCCAACGAAACGGTCGTAATGGTCGGTTTCTATAAGGTAGAAGCATTACTTCTAATGCTCGGTTTCTGTAAGGCAGAAGCATTACTTTTAATGCTCGGTTTCTATAAGGCAGAAACCGAGCATTATACCCCCTGATGTTGGTTTCAAGGGCGAGAAAGTGTTAGAGTTCCCTAACTGTTCCTTGTTTATCGTATATATCATGCATTTACGAAGTAGAAGGGCGTTTGATTTATTCAACAACTAATAAAAAGGTTGGAAATATATTTGTATATCTTCGAAGTCTTAATAAATTCAATTATATGAAACTTATTAAAACAAATATATAGCTGAGCGTGCCTGGAGCCAGAGGCGACACAGGGGAAGGTGGGTTACGGGAGCTCAGCCCCCCTGGAATAGCAACATCCATATAATTCCCTTCTAAAAAAAACTCCTGTGTATACGCCCCTTTCTGGAGCAATCAACTAAGTTTACTGTGCGCGCGTGAACAATATATTTGAGGTATGAATTATTAATGCGCCCAACTTTGAATTAAAAATTTCAAAAGATTGTTTAGAAACAGATCAAGTCTAATAAAAACTTAAGTACAGCTCTACACAGTCAAGGAAAATAAAAATTAGAAATAACGCACAGGCCAAAGAGGCACAACGCCCTTTAAAGCTACCTAGGGAATCATGTCAAATTAAAAAGAAAAAAACTTAATAAAATCCGTACAGTCGTCTCCGCAGACTCATCATTTCAAGGTGTAAACTCTATCTCAGAACCTTTATATTCCTAAAGTTTAGATCAATCTCTTTAAGTCCAAAGAATGTATGATTTGACATTTTTCGACGAGACTTAATTGGCTTGCATGCTCGGCCTGTTTTGTCATATTTTACTTGCGTAATTTAATGCAGTATTCAACCAACGGACGCAGATTGATGCGTAATTAGGACCAAATTACGCAAATTATCTTAAATTTAAGGATACAATCTTATATATGTTTGAATTAAGATAATGTCAATCAGATCAAATATACTAGAAGGTAACTTTTAACCCGAAGTTTTTAAGAGGTGGAATAAAACTCCCCTCCCCCAACCCCGTTATTTATTGCAGGAAATAGGAAGATTTAATTTGCTATTTTTAACGATAATAGTTTAATTATCTAAAAATTCCTTTTCTTTAGCAGAAACCAAAAAGTAGTCAAGATAACATGTCAAACAGAAAAGTATAACAAAGCAAATAAAAACATTTTCATTTCACGTTGAGAAAATGGGTTAATAATTGGATACCCTTAATCTCGATTGCCAAATCTCTGTATCCATTGTGTGACTTTGGATTTTCTTCTTAATACTCAATTATGGATTCCAACCAATGAAAATTCTCTTTAATTGATCGCGCGCAAAATTTCAAAATTTATCAGCTGCTGCTGATTGGCTGTTCGGTTTCTACAATCGGCACTCTAATTGGTTGCATTTTATATACTTTTCTGGATTTTAATTTAAGGTTGCATTAACTTTAAGATTAATAAAAAGAGGAGATCAAGCATTGATCCACGGCACAATTTTAAAGTTAACAGCTCAGAGGCTGAATTTAAAGAATTTAAGCCGCGGCTTAAATTTGAGACGCGGCTCAAATATGGTTGGTTTCACTTAAAATTGTATTCAATGTTTTAAGATTCAAGCCGACTCTTAATTAAAACCGGTTTTTGGCGGATTTGAAACGGGGCTTAAATTTATTAAATTCGGACTCAGGACCCCTAATTTACCGCAATTTTACAGTTAACAGCTCAGGAACCTAATTTTCCACAATTTTAAAATTGATTGGATAATGAGATAGATAGAAAGATAGATGTTACCGCCATACTATTTCTATTGGTTCAGAATAGACACCAAACACATGACTGAACCCTGATTAGATCAGGCGCTGATGGACTCTGCATACAGTAAAAGTAAATTCAACCTAAAGTCTGATCGCGTCGAACTTGTTGCACCGGCTTGTTTTCTGCTTTATTTACCAAATGTCTGGGCGACACAGTACAAACTGGGACCGGAAATAGCTGACATGGCTCGAAAATTAAAATGTACTACGGCTGCCCGTGATTAAGGTATCTACTTATTTAACGTCTCTGATCAAAGATTAATGAGATAGATATCTTTAATTTTCTAGCTGAAAATAAATTGTTTTCAACAAAGGTTTCTATATTAAAGCACCTTTCGGAGCCAATGAAGGAAATTTCCATAAAATGACGCTGAATAGTCCCATTAATCAAATGATAAACAGATATAAGTTTACAATTACCAAAAGTACCAAATTACACAGATGGCACCAAGGTTTTAATGCAAGGAAAGTTTTTTTTACAGAGGTGTACGCATCTTTTGTATTACAGTGTACTACCTCTGGGCGGTAATGTGAACACAAGACGTATGCCACAGCTTGACATATGTGAATTATCGAAATTTAATCCTCCTTGGATACTAAACGAACACTGATGCATCTATTCTTGTTTACAAATTTTGCCCATAGGGAACTGGTTTTAATATGTACGCAGAGTATACTGCAATTAACTTTCCTTGCATTATAACCTTTTGGATGGCACAGGCTTTCTTATTTGCGAAAATTTAACTTCCATATACTTCAATTTTCTGTAAAAAAAAACTTGCGAAATTACAAATATCTTTTACAGAAATATAGGAAAAAATGTTAAAATGAAAGATTAACAAAAGGTTAAATATACAGTTAGACCTATAAATCTCTGGATTAAAATGACGACTGTTAGGCTTGAGTTATGATATAAAATAATCTATAATGAACATGAAAGACAGTAACTGTGCCTTATACTGCAAACCATTTCATATTATATGCTGATTTCGAAGCAACTGGTAAACATTTTGCTAAAAGTCTCGAATAGATTAAATATTCTTTTCAAAGTTTTATATGGGTCTCACTGTATCATGTATATTTGATAAAGCGAATTCGAATATTCAAAAAGTGTGCAAAATCTTCAAAAGTTAGTTTGTAATTAAGAAAAACTTACAATGTGCAAATTCACTTCAAATCCATAACCTCAATATATGCCAATTATTTGCAAAAAAATGTTTTAATCCAATGAGCGGAAGTGGCCTAAATAAAGATTTATTCCGACATAGGTGAATTAAAGAGGGGGCCCTGTTCAGTCCCCCCCCTTATCTTTCTTAACCTAAAGGTATCCGTCCAAGCTTATTTTGAATCTACATCTAGCCAACCAACCTTTCCAATGAATATTGAAAAGTCCGAGGTTGAAAATATTTGTGTTGGATTTGAATTATTTGGTGTAAAATTGAGAAATGTTGGAAATATTTGATTTAATTTTATGCTTTTCAAACAAGGAGTAAGGAATAGAAGGGAGATACAACTGACGCGGCCCGCCGTACCATATGATACATGCTTTACAGACGGTACTTCACATAGAGAATAGAATATATAGAGAGGAATTTAATGGAAAAAAGTGTAAAACGGCCATTTTGTTGTACTGTTTCCATACTGCAGGTGTACTTCACATATTTATGCTATATAACCTGTTGGGCCCTGGAATATCATTTTATAGAAAATCTAAAATTATTGTTAAAAGAAAACCAAATTATGAAAAAGGCTGATGTGGCGGAAGACGATACAACATGAAAGGTCTGAAGCCGGATATTCAAACGCGGCAAGACGTACTCAGATACTGCCACGTCACCTTGATATAATTTTAATAACTCAAACTAAAATTTGTACTTTTACCAGTTAATAAATGTAAATGTAATAAATTTAAACCGGGCTTTATTTATCCGAGCGTAGCTAAATTGGTGACCCCTAGTTCAAAACTATAGACTTTTATAGCTACACGCTCGACGAGTGAAAATGCCTAAGGACAGTGATAACGTCCAAGCCCTAGCTGAACCCAGCTCGTTGGATTTATTAAACACAGTGTCAGTGAAAGTTCCAGCTTTTTTATTCACCTAATTCATTATAAAGTTTATTTAACAGTTTAAAAAATTCGAAATTGAAATGGATAGTCTAAGGAACATACTGTATTAATGTACTCTACTGCATATAATTTGTGAACATTTACATGATTTGTACACTTTGAACTCCCTGAAAGGGACTGAAAAAATTCATACCGAGAGATTCTTTTAATTCCTCTCTATATATTCTATTCCCTATGGTACTTCATTTGTATCAGAAATATTTGTCTGATGTACAATTACCGCGTATACAATAACCTATTCTAAATAGTTCTTATACAAATGGAGTACCGTCTGCAAAGCATGCATAATCATATGGTAGGGCGAGCCGCGTCAGTTGTATCTCCCTTATATTTCATACTCCTTGTTTTCAAATTTCATGAGAGAATAGATATTATACACTTACAGTGAGAACCAGAAAACTGCAGAATAGGAAGACGACATTATAGCAATACTTTTGTGTATTTGATGGTGTTACAAAGCAAATAATTTTACTTGCATCTTATAAAATCACTTAGTATGTTAACATTGCACGATTGCTGTGTCTCATTTATTGGACTATTTAAAGTCATAATTTGAGTTCAAAAGTATTTTTTTATTCCAGATTTTTTCTGTTTCTTACTGTGTATAATATTTCTCGATATGTCTACATTAACTTCTTATTTTACGGAATGAAAAAAATCAAAACAAATATTTTTCTACACCTACCAAATGTTAATATATTTTGGTTATGGGTGTATTTATAGATGCTATTAAAAGATTACACTTTTAAACTCCCATATATGGTTAGAGTTGGTGTGTTGTATCTATCTATCAAATATTTAGCTAATCATTTCCCCTGAAGAAGACACCGCTACGACACCTGTTCCTGTTCCTGGTATAAATATTGATGAAATCCGTCGGAACTCTTCAGTTCCTCACAAACCACCAAACAACACAGACATGTGGCGCAAGGTCTGATCACGTGATGGTACTGTACAGAGTACAGTGGATATAGTACGCTGTCTGATTAGTACTTTGTACTGGAAAATTGATCATTTGCGTACGCTTGACGTTAAAGCAATGTAGAAATTTTCAGAAACACGTTGCAAAAATGATGGGGAGGGGAGGGGGATCCGGGATGAAATATCTATTAGAACTTTTAAACTTTAATAAAAAAAGAGCTTATACGATATCAATAAGTGAGAAGGTTTAGAAGGAAAACATAAGAAAATAAAGGATTTACAAAATTTGTGTGTAAAGAAATTGTAGGGAAGAATAAAATGAAACCTAAGAGAAAAGGATGAAGACGGTTAAGAATGAGAGAAGGATGAATGAAGTAAGAGAAAAATATTAAGAATAAGAGAAGAATGATAGAAGGATGGATTAAGAAAGAGAAGAAGATTAAGAATGAGAGAAGGATGGATTAAGAAAAAGAAGAAGATTAAGAATGAGAGAAGGATGGAGAAAGAAAGAGAAGAAGATTAAGGATGGGTGAAGAGAGAGAGGAAAATTAAGAATGAGAGAAGGATGGCGAAAGGAAAAAGATAAATAGATAAAGAACGCATGGAGAAAGGATGGGTCAAGGAAGAAAGAGAAGAAGATTAAGAATGAGAGAAGAATGAATGAAGAAAGAGAAGAAGATTAAGAATGAGAGAAGGATGGGTGAAGGAAAAAGAGAAGAAGATTAAGAATGAGAGAAGAATGAATGAAGAAAGAGAAGAAGATTAAGAATGAGAGAAGGATGGGTGAAGGAAAAAGAGAAGAAGATTAAGAATGAGAGAAGAATGAATGAAGAAAGAAAAGAATATTAAGAATGCGAAAGTAAAAGTATTTTAACTACAAGAAACGATTTGAAAACATAAAAAATTTATGTCACGTTCTCAACAAACTTGAAATCAGTCTTGACTTTTCAAGACGGTTGTTATTTCATTTTTATGCAAATAAAAACCATAGAAAATATGGGAAAGTATCAATTTATAGCTAACAACACATGGTAGAATATTTGTTTGCTTTTTGAAAAAGTGTAACCAAAGACAAGTTTCAGAAACTAAATACTGTCAGGGGTGTTTGTTTGTTTGTTTGTGTCCAATAAACGTCGAAACGGCTGAGCCAATCCGGCCCATTATTTTGTGGTACCTCACATGACTCCAGGGAAGATTTATGAATAATCAAAATTTCAAAAATTCGACTCCAACAAAATTCAACTTCCAATAAATTTTCAAAATCCACCAATTTTTTATGAAATCTGCAATCTTTTTGTTTGTTTTTGTTTTACAATGTATACAAAGAGAAAATGTTCACAATTGAAATAGAAGACGGGTGCGAAGCGTCCTGAAAGCCTATAGTTTATATACTTTCATTGATATTCATGCACTCTCAAACTACAGGGTTACTTACAAAGAATGAAACTGTAAAGACGACCTGAAACTCATAAAATATGACGATCATAAGGTTAAAAAAGTCTTTTGCCTTGAATATGGTCTATTTATTGACATAGCAACGAAAGAAAACAGTTGCAGAGAATCCTAAATATAAGGAAATAGACAGTATAAATTCTGTACAGTCGTCTCTGAAGTCTCATCCTTTGTTGGTAAGCCAGTACTGAAGTGTTGTGTAAATTATACCGCGGTATTGGGGATCATGCTACAAGATATATCCAAGTTTGATGGATTCAGACGTTTAACATAAATTAAATTTAAGAAGCATGCTTCTATCCTAGGCATGGTTCTTCATACTTAACAGACATGATACTTTGATAGCTTAATACATTGAATACTATTATTTGCAAAACCAGAAATCCAGGGTGCTTCGGGGCCGTTATCCTTAAGCTGTTTTATATTAAAAATTATCTTTGTTGAATGCCCGTTTTTTGTGAGTTGTCAAAATTTTAAAAATGTTGGAACCCAAAGAACATGAAACAATGGTAATTGCAGACACAGACCCATTTTGCTTTATATATAAGTTTATTTTCAAGCCATCATGGTAACACCATGTGTTTTAAGATTGCTTTAATGTCGGCTTCATTTTCTACAGTTTTAACAGTCTCACTGTACAGTTAATTTAGAGCATTCCAGAGGTTAGAATTTTTGTAGACTTAATCCTTGAAGAGCAGTAAACCTTACTTTCTGTAGTTCTTAGATTAGCGCTTTCTCATCCAAAAGTTACGAGCTTTAATCTGGATCAAAACTCATTCTATTCAGTCTTTTACCAAATTTTAAATGTGTGATATTGAAAATAAAGATGAAATGGTCTGAAGAAAATAACAGAACACTGTAAAAATAAATGATTTTATTTAATGTATATCCACGTAGGTCGTAAATACATTTTCCAATATTTTCTAAAAACTATTATTCGTGATACCAATTATAGTAGTCCCGGACATCCTTGTTTATTTTGACTTTGACAAGGGAGGGATTCCAAATATGGAAACCTATGCATTGGATCTGTTTAACTTTTTAGATAGTTTCGGTAAAACTTAAATTATGTAAATTTTTGCTACTAAAATTAAAGATGTAAAATTAATATCTTTATAGCTGAAGGGAGGCAGGGACACGAAGCGCCACGACTTTTCACTGCCAATATTTTAAAGTTTAATTATTCACAGAGATGAACCCTTTATCTTGAAGGTGTTGAGCCCTGTTGGCAGCCCTGTATACAACCCCTTGTGATGAATGGGGATTATTCATGCGAACTTTTTGCCACATGAAGATAATCATGCAAGATAAATTCTTTCTCACTCTACGGATTTTATTGTCTTCCGTAGATCTGCAGCTGACGTTGGTTCGAACCTTCAAGTTCACATTTTGACAAAATAATTAAATCGTTTATTTCTTTAAAACATATAAAAATTATTGGAAAGGAATTGAGCCTTTGCTACAAACTCTGAATTTCTAATCCCCACATCTTTGTGACCCAATTTCGATTTTCGTAGACCTTGGATATTTCAAACTATGAGTTCTCTTAGATCAAATAATTGAAGTTTGAAATTTCATAGGTTTTACCATCAGCTTGAAAAGTTATAGGAACTGAAGAATCTAATTTTTGTGGCAACCCACTTTCTTTTGTAATTTTTGAAAACTTATGACCCCTTTCCCCAAACTGGGCCCCAGGCCCCATGGCCAGTTCAAAAGAAGAGGCTTCAACGGGGGAGGGGGGACTAAAACGCCCTGCTATTATTTTATTTTGATATTATAAATAGATAGACAATTATGCACTGTAACGGTATTTACTAATTCTGTGATTGTATGAAGTACGGTCTGAGGGGGCTGGGGGGGGGGGGGATAACAGATACAAAATGGGTTTGGTTAAAAAAAAGGTATAAATAGAGGGGGGACTAAAAAGGGTTGGCGAGGAGGGGAAGATTTTTGACTAAAGAGATTAATGAAGGATATAAACGGGGAGGGGTAGGGGGCGGTCATTATCAATATCCTACATGCATCAGAGTGTGATTAATTAGTTAATTAATTATCTAATTGTTTAGTGTATACTGTTGTTCTGTATACTGGGCTATACTGTCTCTGGAGCTGATTCCAGACATTCTCATCAAACCAGGTCCAGGATACTTTTATACTCATCAAACCAGGTCCAGGATATTTTTATACTCATCAAACCAGGTCCAGGATACTTTTATACTTATCAAACCAGGTCCAGGATACTTTTATACTCATCAAACCAAGTCCAGGATACTTTTATACTCATCAAACCAGGTCCAGGATACTTTTATACTCATCAAACCAGGTCCAGGAAACTTTTTTACTCATCAAACCAGGTCTAGGATACTTTTATACTCATCAAACCAGGTCCAGGATACTTTTATACTCATCAAACCAGGTCCAGGATACTTTTATACTCATCAAACCAGGTCTAGGATACTTTTATACTCATCAAACCAGGTTCATGATACCTTTTTACTCATCAAACCAGGTCCAGGATACATTTCTACTCATGAAACTAGGTTTCGGATTCTTTTAATCGAATATTCATTTTCAAGGGACCGTTCACGCTATTTTAAGTGATCCTTAATTCACGATGGTATCCTTGTTACCTTTATTTCATTGCCTTTATTTTCTTTTTTTCTAACTTAAAAATAGATAAAAGAATGATTCTAGAAAGGAATTGAGTATTTGCCACAAACTTAAATGGTTTAATCCTTATATCTTTGCATTATTATTATCAAAACCTTTGATCTTTAAAATTTAGATTTTTTATCAAACTGCAGAAATCATAGTATAACATAGCTAACATCAATTGAAATTAGGTTGCAAAGACATAGGGATTGGAAAATCAGGGAATTCATGGCAAAGACTCTTTTGTGTGTTAAAATAGTCATATCTATCTGGTTTCTTTTAAATCTTGTAGAATTCTCTTGCAATATTTACCATCACAATATTTTCATGTTTACATGATTTTATCTTTGTGCATCGTAAATCTGAAATCCGCAAATAAAAGTCAGCTGACTCCACTAACCCCGGTAAAGCCGTAGTGTCGGGGTTCTAGTAAAAACTGGGAAAACTGCGGGAAATACGGCTCGAATAGATCAGAATATGGTTTAAACTAATACTCCCTTTACACGTATTCTTCCTCTTCCTTATCTCCTGTCCTGTCTCTTTTCAATTCTTCATTACTTATATTTTCTATTTTTTTATTTAAAATTATTTCGACTTTTTTTCTGGATTCTTAAGTTAGGTTTTTTTCTTCCATTGTTTCTTGAAACCTCATAAAACCTTCAAAATATAAATTGCGCCAAAAATATGGTTAACATGTCTTAATTTCAATCAGTAGGTTGGTTTGCAATCTTTTCCATATTATTTGCGATATTATTTATTTGTACTTAAATCTACAGTCCTCTTATGAGCATGAAACGACGACACATGGGTTCTTTATAATTGAGGTTCATTACCTTAAATTAAATCTGATTATATCGATAAATGAGTTAAGCAGACGATTAATAAATTAAAAGATTATAAATTAATAGATTAATAGATTAATTGATTAATAGATTAATAGATTGAGTAATAGATTAATAAATTAAAAGATTATAGATTAAAAGATAAATAGATTAATAGATTAATAGATTAATAGATTAATAGATTAATGGATTAATACTTCAATAGATTAATAGATTTATAGATAAATGAATAAATGAATAGATGAATAGATCAATTAATTAATCTTTATAAAGTAAAGCTCTTCGCTCATATATATATTTGTAGATGTTAGCTATAGCTGGCCAAATGATGGACCGTATGGGCTAAATTTTTTGTTAGGAACCCATGGGTAATAGGGGGGTAGTATAAGGCTAAAAATCCATTTTTTTATTCGATTTTTTAAAATTCCACAGGCAACGCTGGGCACTTCATCTGGTAAATTAATAAATCAATAGATGAATAGATGAATAAATGAATAGATTATTAGATGAATAAATGAATAGATTAATAGATGAATAAATGAATAGATTTATAGATAAAAAGATGCATAGGCAAACAAATGAATAGATGAATAGATTCGTAGGAGAACAGATGAATGCAATTGTGAATAAGTATTCTTTATTGTATGTTAGTTTAACCCCTACTAGGGGATAAACTGCAATATATGGGTTCTAATACCAAAAATGCATTTATGTACCTCAAACTCAAAGATGCAGTTTTTCTGTATTGTCATTGAGCGGTGTCTATAGATGAGTATACAATGAAATATTACGGTTATAAAGGTATCAATGCCATGTTTTTAAACCTGGAAATAAACCTATTTTATTTTGTTGTTCAATTTTATTGGTATCATTAGCAATACCGAGCGTAATACGGCTAATGGAGGAATAAAAAGAGGAATCATATCGGGAAGGGGGGGTACTTGGCTGGGTATCGACTAAAGAATAAATTCCTTAAAAATACAATTATTTGGTTCTTAAAACATTTAAACTATTGTTGTTTCTAGCCCCCCTCCCCCTCTGAAAGAACGTGCTAGTTAAAACCTATGGTCGTGTCTTTATAAATTAAGTTTAAAATCTAGCTGACACCCACGTGACCTATCAGCTGACTACCGGTAGCCATCTTGAAACAAGGAAAGCATGCGTGCATATATTAGTTTTTATCTATTTATGGAGTTTTACTTACAGTACACAGTTCCTGCCCCACCCCCCCCTCCCTCCCTTCGCCTGTTTATCTTGTCCACTCATTCACTTATGTATTCTTAAATTCTCTAAACTTCCTTATTCCTCAATAATATGCTATCCTATAAGACGACTCTAAATTAAAATCTTTGGTGTCATTGCGAATTCCTTCTCTTTTGGTTACAGTCTATCATGCAGCTTGCTATCTTCCGCTATCCAAGTATGATAGGATGAGTCATATTTTATTTTGCTCTTTACAGTTGAAAGAAGAAAAGCATTTAACATGAGTCATTTTGAAACAAACTGGGTTACCCCAAAGGAGGAGACGTCTAAGACAACATTTAATATGTTTGTCATTCTTTTTTATCATTACTATTTTATCATTATTTTTGGTGGTTGTAGTTTCTATTATAATCAAGTTTCTGTTCGAGAACTATTTTACTTTTTCGATAGTAATATTTTACCTAAATTTTGTGTTAATTTTAAGATCTGTAAGGCCGCGACGAGATTTCCCTCGAGCTGGTCGCCAGGTCGACGGGAATGGAATCGACTTTTCTAACGCTGTCTTCGACGAGCAAACAGGTAACACTTTACACAGTATATATATGTACAAAGAAGTAAGCTCTGTTGGTTGGTTTTATGACCATCATAACTCATGAACCCCTTGACTGATTGAACTGTAAATTCAGAACATTTGGCATCTTGAATTTTGAAAATGAAAAACTCAACTTGAATGAGATGAAAGGACAAAGGTGTACATAGCACTGAAGAACTGAACTCTAACTAAAAGGGAAAATAGGGTTACAGCAATAATCATCACTTACAATTTTGTTGCGTTGGGGGGGGGGGGGGCTCTCCTCAAACCCCAAATTCTGAACAGCAAACACATTTTTTCTATGTTTTTTTTTCAGTTTAAGATTTGAAAAGTGTGATTGCTGATTTCTAGGGCGTATTCCGTGTATACGCCCTAGTATACAACTAGACTGTTAAAATCCTTGTTAAAAGCTTATTGGATATACATTATACATCATATATACACCTTACATAGATTTTCTGTGGTTCTATCGAGTTGTCCAATTTGAGGCAAATCGGTTAAAATGTTCCTGATGGGACATTTAAACAAGCAGAGAAACAAAAATATTTACAGTATGATATTTTTGTTCTAATCATTATTATCATCATCATTAAAATTTTAAATAACCTGATTTTTAATCAAGAAAAACTAAAAATGTGCAAATTTCCTTTGACAGGTTGTTTGCTAAAAATTTGCAATTTTTTTCGCAAAACTTGTGCAATTCGTTTTCTTATGTCAAAAGCTTTCCAAAAAGCTAAATTTTATCAAAATCTGACAAGTGAAAGTGGGTCAAAACAAAGATTTAGTTTGTTACAGGAAGAAGCAGTCATTCAGGCAGTGTGCCTAAGGACTCAGGCAGTTAGTATTAAAGCCCGGTTTTAGGCCTAGAGGGAGGGCTTTGGGTATGTAGGAAAAGTCAGAAAATTTCAACAGCCTCAGACCAATACTTTTTGAGTTATGTAAAAAAAACTACAAGGTACTGTTGTGAATCACTGGAAAATATATTTACAATCCGTTTAACCTCTGAAAGGAATTGTTCGAAATTCTAAATTAAAAAAATGACACTGCAAGCGTCAGAAAAACTATTTTGTTCGGTTACATATTAAGAATTCAAAACATTTTTTTCTTCTCAATAGCTAAATACACACGACAGAATCTAGCGTACATTTTCCTCCATTTGTCCTGACGGGCTCCAGTAAGAGTAGTTATGATAAAAAAACATAATATATTTCAATCTAACTTGCAGTTTACTGTAGTTAGACGTGACGAAACTCTAAAAGAATGGTGAGATCGTGTTGAATCTGACATGTTTACTGAGATGTTGTGAATCTAACAAAAAAGTGAATAAATCATAAATGAGAAGATTAGATTGTAAACATGTATTGTTCCCTCTACAACACTCTTTACATGCTCAAGCCCTTTATAGGAGAACATCTAGGTCCTTCACGGCGGGGTTTCATGTTTTAGCGCTACAGTAACTCAGCAGGAGGGGGAGGTTTGAGGAACACATAACTTAAACCAATACATATAGTATGTCCCCAAAATTTGAAGTATTACAAATCAATATTAATTCAAAATTAATTTTTATTTTTAATATCCCCTTAAACCCCTAATAACTTTAGCAATCATTCTGCTTTTGATTGAATCAATATTTTAGCAAATTCGATCAGAGTTTTCTATATATGTTAAACTGACTTTCGACATTTCTTGTTCGAATTTAAATAGATTATCAAGTACAATAGGTGAGAAATGAACCAATTATTCACGATGTCAGAAGTGTCATTTGTCAAATATAACGAGGAAAACAAAATATTTTGACATTTGTTACTCCTTTTCTAAATTATTTCTGTAAATTTAACTTCAAAATTCAACTTTTATTTTTGAGCCGTTATTAGGGCAGAAAGTTGGTCCAGTAATTCTGTAAATTCAAAATATCGTTGACTCCTTGTGAATCCTTCCTTGATTTACTGCCAAAAATGGCCATAGCAAAAAGAAATTACCAACCAAAGGACACGATATATTAATTTTTGAAACTGAAGGTCTAAGCCTACAGCAAATATTATTATATCTGGTCGACATGATTCTATTCGTGTATTCGTATGGTTAATCCGTACTGAAAAAACTGATTCAATTTCATGTATTTAGGGTTCAATTAACCCCCATCCTCACGCTGGGCAGTTTAAAGTTGCATCCGCGTGTATCTTGGGTGTCGCAATAAAATTATACCGCACAAATTCTAAATACACGAGGAGGACATTTTAAATCAATTTGTTGGATTGAAACTTTTAAATTCTAAAGTTTGATTGTTAATCTCCTGCTTGTTAATCTTCCCTAGAGAAGATTATAAGTTAAACGCATTCCGTACTCATATACTTGTAAGTTGCCAACTATGGTAAGATGATCTAGAACATCTAGAAATAAATGCATGTTTATTGCGTAGAGTTTGAGATGACCCCCCTTTCCTCTCATAAGCCCCCCCCCCCAGGTATCGGATATGAATACCAATTTTAGAATAAACATGCAAATAGTCAAACATAAAGTTATGTAAACAAACAAATATAAAAATAAGATTTTGGACCTTAAAGCTTGAAACAGCAGAAGTAAAATAATGAATCCTTTGTAATCCTAGGAATCAGAGCAGTGCCATTATACATATATAACCAAGTTTACCCCATCTCAGGTATATATATACAAATAGATAGATAGACAGATAGATACATAGATAGACAGATAGATAGATAGATAGATAGATAGATAGATAGATAGACAGATAGAGAGATAGAGAGATAGATAGATAAAATAGATAGATAGATAGATAGATATAAAGATAAATGGATAGATAAATAGATATATATATATGGAAAACTATGAGTTTCATCTACTGTATATGGTAAAGACAATGATGAAAGGACGTAAACTATGTAGTTTTGTAGATTATTCAGTTGACATTTGAAACAGCAAATTCAAACATCTAAGATTTATCATATATATATGTATTCTAAAAGGCAGATGAACATATGAACAGTTAGACAGCTGAATATTTATATAGTTAGATTGTTAAATAGTTTAATATAGTCAGTAAAACAGCCCTTTACTAGCTAGACAACTAGACAACTTGATAGTTTGATAGTTAGATAGTTAGATAGTTAGATAACTAGATACCTAGATAGTTATATAGTTAGATAGATAGATAGTTTAATAAATAGTTATATAGATATTTCGATAGTTAGATATTACTTAGTTAGATAGTTAGATAGTTACATAGTTAGATAGTTAGATAATTAGATAGTTAGATAGTTAAATAGTTAGACACTTAGATAGATAGCTACATAGATACATAGTATTAGGCATCTTGATAGTTTGATGATTAGATAGTTAAACAGCTTGATAGTTAGATTGTTAGATAGTTAGTAAGTTTCATAGTTAGATAATTAGATAGTTAAACAGTTGAAAAGTAAGATGATTAGACACCAAACAATGAGACAGATAATAACTCTGACAATGCGACAGTTAGACAGTTAGAAGACAGTTATACAATTCAATACCTTTAGTTTTAATTGATACAAATACAGTCTCACACTCAACAACTTATATAAAACAGTTTGGCTTGATTTCAGGATTTGGTCGAGGGGGGGAAGAGATCTTTATATTTTGAGCAAAATGTTTTATTTACAACTGCGTTTCCGAATTGTATAAATAAAATTCCAAATTTGATATAATTAAACTAAATTTATGCAAAATGGATTCGAATAGATTTATCAACTGAGAGCTTCTCATAAAACCATTAACCTCACGCTGCAATAAAACCTAACACTGTTGGGACAATGTTCATCTCTCTGCAATACGATAATTATAAACATTTTCTTTGATTGAAAAAACTGTGACCAAAGCATAAAAATTTATCTGTGAGGAGGAAAATGTAAACTGAAGGCCCTGTGTGCGGGCAGTCACACCACACTATCTCTTTAGAGTAAAGCACTGTGGCCTAAATTTTGAATATATTAAAGTGTAAACCTAAAAAAGGGAACAAATTGAACAAAATAATATTTTAATGTTTGAACAGAACGTGACTGAGTCTTCAAATGCAAATGAATTATTCATCTTAATGTTTTGTCAATTTTGAATTTAATATTTGTAGGAAGAAGTTTGTGAAGAAAACTTTGAGAAGCAATGCCAAATAACCTTTAAACAACAGGTATATTTCATTCCATCATAAACTCATGTTTTCTTCATACGACTTTGTGACCTCGTATCTCCTCTAGTTTTAATGTATGAGAATAGTAAAACCATTGTTTGTTCTTCTTAGAAGATCAAAAATTATGATCGAAAACATAAAAGAGTTTAATCTTATTTAAAATTTATTATTGCTAGACTTGAAGCATTTCCAGATAAATTGAACATTTTATGCAATTATAAATTAAATTCAGTTCGAGACAAGGAAATGTTGCATTTATCTTAAAGTGCAAATCTTTTGCGTTAACTGATATAAAGCAGTTTTATTAAAATAAAATTTCGGAAAAATAAAAATAAAACTTAAAAGTGGTACAAAAAGTGATTTCAAGTGCAACCCTCCATTTAGATAAGTTGAATGTCAGATTTACTATGGTACCCTTTAATAATGATGATGTAATAATTGCTGTCCCTCCCCCCCTTTAGGAATTGATTCCGGATTACGCCGGCAGTGCCTATCAATATTCATAAAACTTGAAGGAATTGAGTCTTTGTCACAAACTCAAATTTTCTAATACCTTTATCTTTTCAACCTAAGGATGTATAAACCTTTACTGTTTCAAACATAGATTATTTGATCTAGGAGATTTTATAGTTTGAAATATCTAAGGTGTACGACATAGGGTTGTAGAGATATAATGGTTTGAAAATCAGAGTTTGTGGCAAAGACTCAATTGCTTTGTAGAAAATCAATTAAATTTTGTTTCAGGCGATTAATGAAACTGTACAGAAGTGCTACAAACCAATAGGTATTAACTGCATGCGCAATGCACATATATATTATATATAGCCGTCACCAACTGGGGATTACTCGACCATAACAGTTGAGTTTTTGTCACAAACTCGGATTTTCTAAACCCTTCATCTTTGCAACCTTATGACGTAGACCATTGATATTTCAAACAATGAATTCTGTTAGATCAAATTTATTCTAAGTTTGAAATCACATATTTGAAAGAAATACCGGATTAAAAATTGAGCTTGTGGCAATCACTTAATTCCTTTGTACAGTGTTGAGCCACTCAAGTTGAACTTGTATACTGGTCACGTGATACAGGCGAAGACACGTTGCCACTATACTGTACTGCTATTGGTAGGAGTTCTGGTCACGTGATACGGAAGTATAAAGAATATTGTCAAGTATATCAATTAAAAATAAAAAAGTATGAAATCTTTCTTATAATAGGAGCAAACCTAGGTTTCTCAGGCTCCTCTGGGATATCGTCGTTTTCAGATTGGTTTCGTATTTGCTGAATTTGATCTGTTTAAACCTACGATTTTTATACAAAGTTTTATATACATAAATTTTCGTATATATTTGACACAGTTTTATATCAACTCGACTTAGGGGTCTCGATCAACTCCTAAAATGCTCAGGTTTCAGCCTTTACCCCCTTTCATTTTTCCTTTACAGTCCCTTTAAACTGATAAATTTATTTTTAAATGGCTGCTATATAAACTGAATCTTTTTGGAAATGCATAGTACAATATGCTGCATTGAAACTCTTACGAACTCCTTTGTATGCCAAAACTCCTACTTGGTGTGAAGAGTGCAAAAGTGTTCTTCAACAATTTTGCATCATTTGTCTGCAATTTTACCCCACAATTTATTTGCACTGATTGCAATCAAGTGTGCTCGGCTTTGATTTATACTTTCAAAAATGTTAAGTGTCAAGACATTTTGATTTGTTTTATGAAAAAAGTGTAATTTTGTTTTGACACGTTGATGATTATTGGTTGTAATATCTGAATGGTTTGTTTGGAATTAAACTGATTTTTTACGATCCGAGTCGAATGTTGCAATTTTCTGAATTTTTATGGACGCTACGTTCTTCGGTATAAGTCGTTTTTAACAATTTTCTCCTTATAGACGCAACAGATAGAAGTAAGATTAGTAGGGATCACCATTCAATATTTTTCGACGTAAGCCTATATACCCCCTTTCATTTTTCGCGAACACTCCAATTAAGTATTTTTGTTGTTGTTAAAAACTGATTATTTTCATTTATGGTTTTTGGTGATTTGAGCATTTCTTGCTTCAGAAATAATGGAGGATTTGTGAGAATAAAACACGTTATCTTCCATAATATTAATCAGATGAAGATTTCAAGGATGTGAATCGTGGATGGCTATCTAATAAGGAGGAACACTTGAAATGATGTGTGCAGTGCCTTTAATTACATTATTTTGTTTAGTTAAGGTGTGTAACGGTGATGGTGAGGAGATATGTCAGACTGTTTACGAATCCTCATGCAGTACAAAGGTAAACAAACAAATACAAGGTTGGAAAACAAACAAAACAAACCGGAAGTGAAATATTGTTTGAACCCGTGCATCATGTAGGACACAGATAGATCCTGACATTCTGTTATAATTGCTGTCAAATATCAAATTGTAATTTAGTCATTTTTTCGTTAATTTGATTTTACAAAGAGAATATTAGGAGTTTCCTATAATGTTGCACAATTAATGTTCAACTAATCTTTGCATGAAAAGTCATCTAAAATTACGTTTATAGTCCCGTCAAACCGAATAAAGCTTCCAATCATATTCTAAGACAGTATTAAATTAAAAGTTTCACAATGAACTGTTTTCTGACAAATTTTCCCAACAAAGTTCGAAAAAGAAAACATAATCAAGGTTTCCTAGCCCAAACAATCTCTTTATCAAAGAGCTTTTACCGTCTTTGTATTTTATCTTTTTGGTTTGAATAATCAACTCTGTATGGTTTCTCAGAGGTTTCTCTTCAATCCTAACTAAGAATATAAACAACAAGAACAAACAGAAACTTGAACAGAATCTTAAACAGGAACTTCAACAGGAACTTAATCAGAAATTCAAACAGGAACTTAAATTAGAAATTCAAATATGAACTTAAACAGGAACTCAAACAGGAACTTAAACAGGAACATAAACAGGAACTTAAACAGGAACTTAAACAGAACTTAAACAGGAACTTAAAAAGGAACTTAAACAGGAACTTAAACAGGAACTTACACAAGAACTTAATTAGGGACATAAGGGACTGTAATCGTAATTTGAAGTGACTGTCCATCGATAAAGTGGCATGTTGACTGTCGATGACTATGGCTCATTAAAAATGTTTCCAAGTTGTTCTGTTGATGATGATTTATGGATTATTGAATTATCTTGTTCAGTATATAGAGAAGCAGCCTGGTAAGTTTGTAGGCGATACAAACTGCGAGAAGCTTCCTGTTCAAGTTTGTGGAGCTGGATGTACTTTCCAGGAGGGACCTCAGGAGTGCCATGATAAGGTTATATTCTAGATCCTATAAGTTCCTAAATCACGGTGGACTAGGGTCAATTTGAATTTGAACCGGACCGACCCCTTGTACTAGCCATAATGACGCGCGGCAAGGACTGACCCGCCTCTATCCTATGCCGGCTAGTTTTCAATTTTGATGGCGCGGCCAGACTTTTAACAGTCTGGCCGCCTTATCATAGACCTATTAGACCTACCCCACTAGTTTAGTTTAATATGAAATATCTCATTGTCCTGTGCTCATAAACTTTATAATCATATATTCTCAGCAATAATATAAAACGAACCCAAATTATAAATCTTTGGTTGGGGATTGTCACCTTTAGAAAACTCGACGTTTGTTAATTTCTTTAACGATGAAACGATTGCTCTTAAAACTCTTTTGTTTTTAATAGTATGGTCGTAAATGCTTCCTAAGCTACCTTTTTGGTTTTTTAGGTTCTGTAATTAATGTCGCTAACTTTCAATATTCTTAAAGGGACTGTCAGCACGTAATTTAAAGTAACGCTCCATACAAAGATGGCAGTGTCCGATTCAGAAAGGTATCCATCAAAGCTTTGTCTGGTCAAGGATGATATCATTGTTTATGATTTTGAAAACTATTAATATTTAATCGTGGTTTCTCTACAAAAGTGACCTGCGCATTTCAACTTTAGGAAAACATTAAGGAATTGATATGTCAGATGTAAACGCTTTTAAACCTAGAAAAATGAAAATATCTTCCACATAATTGATCATGTAAAGGTTTCAAGGGTACCGTTGTAAATCGTGCATTGCCATTTTTACATGGAGGGTTTCTCGAAATTACACTTACTTCTTTTACTTGAATAATTTGTCCTCCTTGTTTAGGTTCTTGTGTCTCTCCTTGATGTCCCTGAAGAAGTGTGTGATTTAAACCCACAAAAAACTTGCCGGTAATGTGTATTGTTCAAATTTATACTGGGCAGTGCGCCACGCGCCCGTCTCTGATCTTACTTCAATTTTGGATTTTTTTTCGATTATTTTGGTGAAATTGAAGAATCTGATTTTTTCTGATGCAAATTTTTTTTCTTTCTGATCTATCCCTAAACCTCTCCTGGGATTATGTTACAATTTAGGCCCGATCGGTTCAGCCGTTTTGACTTTATAGAATACAAAAAGAACACCTGAGATTAAATAGATATTTTTCAAAATTATATCTGCTCAGTGTTCAGTGTTAAGTATCATAATTCATAATTGCATTTAATTAACGAAAGCTTAAACCATTGACGAAACGTTGAAGAGGG